TTATTTTAGAGATAGGATCTCACTTGGGATCTCACCCACACTAGAATACAGTGGGGTATCATAGTTTGTTGCCACCTCAAGCTCCTGGGCTTAAGCAAACCTCCAACCTCAGCTTCCCAAGAAGCTGGGACTATAGGTGTACACCACCATGCTCTTTTAATTTTTGTCAACAAGTGTGTGGGGTTTTTTTGTTGTTGTTGGTTTGTTTGTTTGTTTTTTGAGATGGGGTCTGGTTCGCTATGTTGCTGGTCTGGTCTTGAACTCCTGGCCTCAAGCAGTCCTCCTGCCTCAGCCTCCCACTGAGTGTCTTATTGTCTCTAATCTTGGAATTAGGGATTAATATTTTTTCCTGTCTAGTAAACACATTTTTTCTTCATCTATAGGATATTTAAGTCGTTTGAGGAACTAGAATGTTTGTCATTTCAATCATTTAAATTGACATTGCTTTTACTCTTTATATGAGGCACAATTTATATTTATGTAGTCATTCTCCCAGCTAGTTATGTAGTCATGGGTAAGTCCCCTTTCTTTTTCCTGCTATTTTCCTAATCTACAAAGCTGGAGAGTTAAATGAGATTTAAAGTTGGTTTTTACTCCAACATTTCATAATTCTTTGAGTCCCTTTATTTGAGCATAGCAGTTCTTGGATGTCTGTGGTTAGCCAGCAGGTAACATCTATTTTCCTGTCACAGGCACTGCCAAGATATTTGATAAACCAAGGAAGCGAAAACGTCAGAGACATATTACAGCCAAGGCACAGTGTAAAAAAGTGAGAAATGACGACTCATCCAAAGAGACTCCCAGCTCAGAGGTATTACTCAGCTCTTAGCCTTGGGCTTCCAGAGATGAGCTGCTTCTCACCGCAGAGGCCACGTTCCCCCTTTCCCCTGAGTTTACTTAAGATAGTACTCAACTGAAATGGCTAATTGCTGTAAGGAATCTTGGAGAAAAAGGAGAGCCTAATCCTAGTAAAAATAAGTCAGAATACATACTGAACTGTGGGTATGGCCTTTTTAAAAGATCCTCTAGTTGTCGGATGAAATGTATAACTGTTTCATCATTAAGTAAACTTGTTCTAAAACCAGAGAGCACAATATCAAATAACTACATGGTCTGAATGAACTTGAATATTGCCCTTTAAATGTTGAGACTGCTGCTGTTAGGGGGAAAATTTCATTTGCCTGTTTCTTGAGATCATCACCTGCTTAATTTCTGGATAATGTTTGTAAACATTGGCTTTCAGGAAACAAAGGTAGATTTCCTTGCAGAGCATCAGTGCAATCATTGATGCTATCTCTGATTAAGTTTCCAATTAAGTTTAAAAGAGAATTAGTTTAAGTTAGGTCAGCATCACACATTATGATGCAGAATGTTTCTTTCCAGGACAATTTGAATACAATGCCCAAGGGGGGCATTATTTAGGAAAACACTGATCTTGGAAGGACAAATAAATAATCAAATAAACTTAAGAATGTTTTCTCTCCCTTAGTGAAACCTTAAAATGGAACAGCTCAAAAAGTTCCAGTGGAACAGCCTCAGAGCAGTTAGTGGCAGGGCATGAGGCGCCCACTACCCGCCCAATCACAGCAGGGTTAGAACTAACATTGCATGCAGTCCGCCCGCGTGATTGGCTGAACATCTGTAAGTGCTTAATGGCTAGACAAATAGCAGCTCAGAGGGAGGGGGTCAGATGGAGGAGACATCAATAATACAGATTTCGGACATTATTTTTTCTCTGCAAGGGAGAACTAATGACACACAGGACGACCGGAAGCCCCAAGGAGACTGTTGAGGAGGGTGTAGAACAAGACCCTGGGATGCCTGCCTCTAAAAGAATGCAGGGTGAACGCGGTGGAGGAGCTGCACTCAAGGAGAATGTTTGCCAGGTAGACGATGCTAGCCCACTTGTATTTTCATTGCATGTTTATCTTTTAAAAGAAGCCCTCTTCATCTCTTGATGACCTTATCATGGATAGATTAAAAATGATTTTGGATGATTCCAATGAAGTCACTTCCTTTAAAGATTTAACTCTTTCCCCTCCCCACAAAAAAAAAAAAAGCAAGGAAGAGAATAGCTTAGTATTAATGAACCAACCACCTGCCCTCCTAGCCCGTGAATGACTGTGTTCCCTGAAACAGGTCTGAGGTGGGAGTTGTGAAACTGTGGTTACTTGGTCAAACATAATTCTGTGCTTCTCACAGTGTCCGTATTTTTGGGTTTCTAAGGAAATGTTCAAGGGTGATTTTAGCCTTGAGATTTTTTTGGTCTCGTTTTGTTTCTCTGCTTTAAAGTGGTGACTTTATCCAGAACGGGTAGCTGAATAAAATCAAATAAGATGAAATGAGAAAAATAAATAAAGTGGTGACTTAGGAAAATCTGTCACCTATATTTTTCAATTTATTTAATAAGTATTTATACAGTATTTACTATGTGTCAAGTATTGTTCTAAGCATTCACAAATGTTATATCATTTAGTCATCATAGCAGTCTCATAAGGTAGAGTTCTGTTATCATCCCCATTTGGAGATGAGGAAACCGAATTACAGAGAGCCTAAATAGCTTGCTTACATCACACAGTGGGGCCTAGATTCACACCTCTGCAGTCTGGGTTTCACATTGTGTTGTATTGCCTTTCTGAGAGATATGATTCCACTTTATTGTTAAAGAACCTTCATCTGACTTTGGGAGTAGAGTCAATTGAATGAATGCTTTGGATATGTTCTCTTTTTATGATCTTGATTACCCTAAGTAAATTCTTAAAATTTGGCATATAAAAATATGGGGATATTCTTTTTTTCTTTTTTTCTTTTTTTTTTTTTGAGACAGAGTCTCAAAAGTCTCTGAGACTCTGAGTCTCAGAGTCTCACTCTGTTGCCTGTGCTACAGTGCCGTGGCGTCAGCCTAGCTCACTGCAACCGCAAACTCCTGGGCCCAGGTGATCCTCCTGCCTCAGCCTCCCAAGTAGCTGGGACTTCAGGCATGTGCCACTGCACCTGGCTAATTTTTTCTATTTTTTAGTAGAGACGGGGTCTCACTCTTGCTCAGGCTGGTCTCAAACTCCTGATCTCAGGCAGTCCTCTGGCCTCGGCCTCCCAGAGTGCTAGGATTATAGGCATGAGCCACTACAGCCGGCCAGATATTTGTTCTTTATTAGTATTATATTCATATGTTAGTTCTTTTTATTCTTTCTTAACTGAAACAACTAAAATATTAGCCCACTCCCAGAAGATGTTATTGTGGCCTATATAATTTCATCCCAGTTTCTTTGACTTTTCATTTTCACTAATTTTTTTTTTTTTCCCAGACAGAGTCTCACTTTTGTTGCCTGGGCTAAAGTGCTGTGGCGTCAGCTTAGCTCACAGCAACCTCAAACTCCTGGGCTCAAGCAATCCTTCTGCCTCAGCCTCCCGAGTAGCTGGAACTATAGGCATGTGCCACCATGCCCGGCTAATTTTTATTTATATATATATGTATATGTATATGTATATGTTTATTTAGTTGGCTAATTAATTTCTTTCTATTTATAGTATAGACAGGTCTCACTCTTGCTCAAGGTGGTTTTGAACTCCTGACCTTGAGCAATCCACCTGCCTCAGCCTCCCAGAGTGCTAGGATTACAGGTGTGAGCCACCGCACCCGGCCTCACTATTTTTTGTAAAGAATTGTTCATATTTCTACTAGCTCCCAGTGTTAATCCTCAAAGACAGGATGCCCATTTTGTACTAAGTGAGACAAATCAGACTGTGAATATATTTTACAAGCATTTTTTTCCAAAGAACGATTAAAGGTTGGTTGGCCCTATGGTCCTGGCTTATTTGGATTAGTCTTTGTGTCAATCTCTCGTCCTGGCATAATTTATTTTAGCACGTCCTTTCATTCCCAAGTGAAAGGTAAATTATATGGCAATCCCAATTAAAGCGTTAGTCCATAACATTTAGTTAATTTCAGAAATGTATTCTTCAATTTACATTGTAATTGAAATTTTCCTATTTAAGTTATAAATATAAATTTGTTTACTGTATGTGAACACTTAAATCATTGGCACTCTGAATATATATAGATAAATATATAACATTTATGGCATTTTTCAGTGTTTATGTGTGATTAGTAGATAATAAAGAGTCAAATATTTGAGAATAGCGCAGATTATAGGTAGATTAAGGCCCTGGGGTTGGTTCCCTCTCAATCCTGGGCTGCCTCTCTGGCCTTTCTTCCTAAAGCTTTTTAAATTTCAGCTTTGATGTTTTTTGGGTTTTTTTGTTTTTATGTGTTTGTTTGTTTGCTTGTTTTGAGACAGAGTCTCACTTTGTTGCCCAGGCTAGAGTGAGTGCCGTGGCGTCAGCCTAGCTCACAGCAACCTCAAACTGCTGGGCTCAAGTGATCGTCCTGCCTCAGCCTCCCAAGAAGCTGGGAATACAGGCATTCGCCACCTTGCCTGGCTAAATTTTTTTTGGATATATATTTTTAGTTGGTCAATTAATTTCTTTCTATTTGTAGTAGAGACGGGGTCTCGCTCTTGCTCAGGCTGGTTTTGAACTCCTGACCTTGAGCCATCCGCCCCCCTCGGCCTACCAGAGTGCTAGGATTACAGGCATGAGCCACTACGCCGGGCCTGTTTTGTTTTTGTTTTTATTTTTTTTTGAGACAGAGTCTTACTCTGTTGCCTGGGATAGAGTACTTGGCATCAGCCTAGCTCAGAGCAACATCAAACTCCCAGGCTCAAGCGATCCTCCTGCCTCAGCCTCCCGAGTAGCTGGGACTACAGGCATGTGCCACTGTGCCCGGCTAACTTTTTGTACTATTAGTTGTTTGGCTAATTTCTTTCTATTTATAGTAGAGAAGGAATCTCGCTCTTGCTCTGGCTGGTCATGAACTCCTGAGCTCAAGCAGTTCTCCCGCCTCGGCCTCCCAAAGTGTTAGGATAACTTTGATATTTTTAAGTGACCAAGACGTGTTCTGTTTCTTCAGTTCTTGTAGATAGAACTTGCTTAGTGACATTTCCCGTTTCTTGCCTTACATAGTAGATATAAGGGCTTTAAAAATTTTTAGCATTTTTCTGCTAATTCAAGTCTCAGGGTGTTAGAGTGATAAAAAGTAATGCATATTGGAATTTTGCCAAATTTTCATAAATCTTATAATGTTTTCATAGAGACATATGCATTTACTTAGACTGAGTTCTTCAAAGAGTGAAAAACAAAACAACAAAAAAGGATCCATATCATTATTCCTAAGCCTCTATCTTAAGTGATGCCCTGTCTTCGATGAGATCATCTGAGAAAGGTGATCTTTCTGAGATGGTTCTAGACATGTCTCAAAGGGCTGTTGAGACCTTGGTGGGGGCTCTTTGGGACTGTAATTACTTAAGCTTAGCTGGCCAGTATCTCTTGCTTGAACCCCACTGCGCTGTCCTCCTGGTTTGTCTCTTTGCTCTATTGTCACTTTCCACCCTTTCATTTTCCATGTAGCAGTAGTCGGGGATCTTTTTAAAAATGAAAACCTGATTTTAGCCTTCCTTTGGCAAAGCTTTCCAATAGTACACCTTTGCAGTTAGAATAATAAATATGTACAGCTACAGGCCCCTGCCTCTTTGTCACCTCATTTTCTGCCACTTCTAATGTTTGTTTACTTTAGTCTAGTGACTCTGGCTTTTCTCATGATTCTCAAGCATTGAAAAACAGGAAAACATAGGTTTTTTCTATTGGTGGATCTTCTGTGCTTGTTGCTTTCCTGGCCCTGCCTTCACATCTTCATGTGGCTGCCTTGTCACTCAGAGCCATGTCTAAGAGACCATCTCTAGTCACCCAATCCAAAGTAGCTGTTGGAATTCTCTACCTAGTACTTATTATCATCTGATATCTTCCCATTTTGTTTAATTGTTTAGTTGTGTCTTCTATCCCTAGAATATAAAAACCACAAGAACCAAAGACCTTGTGGTGCCTGGCATAGAGGAGATAATAATTAAATATTAGTTTGGTGAGTGGTGGTATTTCTTGTGTCTGTTTCTGGTAAAGCTACCTTTTTCTTTTTTTAGACAGAGTCTTACTCTGTCACCCTGGCTAGAGTGCAGTGGCTTCATCATGGCTCACTGCAACCTCAAACTTCCTGGCCTCTAGGGATCCTCCTGTCTCAGCCTCCCGAGTAGCTGAGACTGCAGGCATGCACCACCACACTGGGCTAGTTTTTCTTCTTTTTTGTAAAGACAGAGTCTCACTCTTGCTCAGGCTGATCTTGAATTCCTGGCCTCAAGTGTTCCTCCTGCCTTGGCCTCTCAGAGTGCTAGGATTACAGGTGTGAGCCACCACGCCCAGCCCAGTTTTTAATCTTTCCTCTTTCAACGCCTTCCACGTGGGATTTTTAAAAAACCCTTTTTCTACAGGCAGATCTGTGTTCTTTCTCTTAACAGAACTGTGAGAAAGTGGGTGAGCTGCTGTTGTGTGAGGCTCAGTGCTGTGGGGCTTTCCACCTGGAGTGCCTTGGATTAACTGAAATGCCAAGAGGAAAATTTATCTGCAATGAATGTCGCACAGGTAAAGCAGATGAAAAAAAAGTCTTCTTCCAAGGAATGCTTGACTTTTTAAGTTTTTCTGGAAAAAAACTCAATAATATTGGATAAGCTGTTTTATAGCAACATTGGGCCAAGTTACTATAGACACACAAATGGTGCTTTGTTACCCCGACCCTCAGGAGAGCTGCCATGTGAATAATATCTGGATATCATAGTACAATTCAAAATGTGTTATACCGGAGATACATCCTGAGTGCAGTGTGAGCAGAGATGAACTAATGCCATAGAGAAAGATACCTGGTTTGGGTTTAAGAGAGAAATAGAAAGAAACTATTGTGAGAAGAGGAAGGGTACGAGTTCCAATAATGAAAGTGTGAAATATTTGGAAATTAGGGAGTATAGGCCATTGTATTTAGAGTTTAAGATATTTTAGTTAAGAGGCATTGGCCATGACTAGGAGGGCTTCTTGGTTACTTCTTTGTTACTAGTGATGTTTTGTTTTGTTTGTGTTTTGCTTTGTTTTTCTTTTGAGACAGAATCTCACTCTGTTGCTCTGGCTAGAGTGCCGTGGCATCAGCCTCACTCACAGCAACCTCAAACTCCTGGGCTCTAGCAATCCTCCTGCCTCAGCCTCCCAAAGTAGCTGGGACTACAGGCATGCGCCACCATGCCCGGCTAATTTTTTCTATGTATTTGTAGTTGGCCAATTAATTTCTTTCTATTTTAGTAGAGACAGGGTCTCGCTCTTGCTCAGGCTGGTTTCCTGACCTCGAGCAATCCACCCGCCTTGGCCTCCCACTGATGATATATTTCTTAAGTCAACTCGTGTTGGATAGTGATTACATGGGTGTGTTTACTTCATGATTATTCACGAATTATATGCTAAGGATGTGCACTTCACTGCGTGTGCATCATATATTAATAAAAATGTTTATAAAAAAAGAAAATTCTTTGGAGAGTTTTAACTTATAGATTGGGTCAGAAAACAGGAGCAGTCAGCTCAGACCAGCTTTTGAGGCACCTCATAAGCTGTACTGTGTTCCTTTTTTAAAGCATTATGTGTAGACATTACAGCATTTAAGCAATGAAGAAATCAGGGCTGAAACTATAGATTTTATGCTCATGAGTCATTGAAGCCATGGGTGTGGATAATGTTGCCCACAGAGAAGCATCAGCGGAGTGAGAAGAGGGTCAGTGACAGTACGTGGGGATACCCTCTTCTGAGGAGTTAACTGGAAGGTGAGGAGGAGCTAGTTAGTATCTGTTAAGCCATGGGAGTTGGGTGTTATCAGTAGGGACGGATGTTGCAAAAGTATGGAGGAGGGTCTCGAGATTTGGAGGCTTTTGTGTTTGGCAGTGAGAAAATGCTTCACTTTTCGCCAGAGGATGCCACAGTAAACTAAATTGAAGAGTGAATGGATAGCAGTGTACATTACTTCTTTAAAAAGTTTGACTTCAACAGAAAGGGTAGTAGCTGAAGTGAGGATTATTATAGGCTCAGTAGGAAGATCATATGTTGAGTGTTCTTAGGATGGAGGTTAAGAACCAGCGTAGAGAACCACATTTCTGCCAAAGGAGAGGGAATAATGGTGGAGTACAGTCACGGAGACGGGAGAGGATACTTTTGAAGAGGTGAAAAGGTAGTAGCAAGATGAAAATTTGATGTGGAGTTGTGAGGCAGAAGACAGGAGCTAAAGCAGTTTTTTCTTGGGGTGGAGAGAATGATGGGAATGGTAGTTGTTTCTAACTTGAATGGCAGAGTATAGCTGTAGGGAGGGAAATGGGGTGGAATTAACTCCTGTGTGTAAATAGATAGCTGTGTCAGATTCAGGCCACTATTGGTTAGGGCATTTATTTTATTTTCTTGCAGCGACTTTCAGCAAGTTGGTATCAAAAGTTGGAAGATGATGAGATCTGGGTTTATTTTGCCTTCCCTTAGCTGAGCTTTCAATCTTTATGGGAAATAGTGCCATGCAGCCCTGAAAATGAAATTTAGAAAAAGTTTTTAATATATATTAGTATTTCCATTTTCCTAGTCCCATAAAAGTCTTCTTACCTTTTTTTGTATTAATAATTCAGTTTTGTCATATCTTTATTATGATGGAATGTCCTGTGAACATGTTGATCTAAGGTAAAGCAGTTTTTAACACATTGACTGCCATGTGAGTTGTATTTAACTCATGCTAGTTTTGAACCTGGAGCCTCATGAAGCAAAACCCTGCAGTTTGGTTTGTGAAACTCTTAACTTGTTCACGTTCTTTTTGTTACAAATAATATTTACAATTTAATCCTAAAAATGTGGATTCTGTTGCATTCTGTAACACATGCACAGAAAACCATGAAAAGTAAAATCTTAGAAAACATTGTTTTGGTTTTTTCTTTTAAGTTTTGCCAGAGGTGCAAGATTTTTTTTTTTTTTAGTGTATTATGGGGGTACAGGTTATGTATATTGCCTATGCCTCCCCCACCCCCCACCCCCTGTTTTGTTTTAGTAAAATATGTGGCCCGAGGGAAAAATTTTTTTCTGGTGTGGCAGTCAGTGTGTTTAATAAAAAATCAATTTTATTGTTGATAATTTGCCTACTATAAAATGCACCCATTTTAAGCATGTGCATTGATAGGTTTTGATAACATGTATTCACCCACGTAACCATAATCATAATGAAGGATTTGAACTTTTCTTTTACTCTACAATGTTCTGTCACGATCAATCCCAGACAATCCCCATGTCCAACTGCAGGCAACCAATGATCTGGTTTCAGTTACAACTGATTAGATTTATTATTTTTAGAGTTTCATGTTAACGAAGTAAAATAGTATATAATCTTTTGTGTCTGGCCAAGTGTAATGTTTTTGAGACTCATCTATGTTGTGTGTATCAGTAGTTTATCCTCTTTTCTCTTCTCTTCTCTCTCTCTACTTTCTTCTCTCTCTCTCTTTCTTCCTCTCTCTCCTTCTCTTTCTCTCTTCTCTTCTCTCTCTTCTTCCTCCTCTCCTCTTCCCTTCTCCTCCTCCCTCCTCCCCTCCTCCTCCCCGTCCTCTCTGCTTTTCTTCTCTCCCTCTCCACTCCTCCTCTCCTCCACTCTCTCCTCTCCCTCCTCTCATCTCCTCTCCTCTCCTCCCTCTCTCCCTCCTCTCCTCTCCTCTCCTCTCCCTCCTCCTCCTTCTCCTTCCTCTCCTCCTCTCCCTCTCTCTTCCTTCTCCTCTCCTCTCCTCTCCTCTCCTCTCCTCCTCTCCTCTCTCTCCTCTCGCCTCCCCCTCCCGCTCTCTCCTCCTCCTCTCCTCTCTCTCTCATACCTCCCTCCCCTCTCCTCTTCTTTTTTTGAGACAGAGCCTTGCTTTGTCACAGCTAGAGTGCCGTGGCGTCAGCCTAGCTCACAGCAACCTCAAACTCCTGGGCTCAAGTGATCCTCCTGCTTCAGCCTCCCGAGTAGCTGGGACTACAGGCATGCGCCACCATGCCCAGCTAATTTTTTCTATATATATATGTTAGTTGGCTGATTAATTTCTTTCTATTTATATAGTAGAGGCTGGGTCTCACTCTTGCTCAGGCTGGTTTCAAACTCCTGACGTTGAGCAATCTGCCCGCCTCAGCCTCCCAGAGTGCTAGGATTACAGGCGTGAGCCATATCCTCTTTTTCTTAAAACAGCTCTATTGAGGTTAATTGGCTGTATTTCAAGTATATAGTTTGTTAGATTTTGATATATGTATATGTGCATAAACCTATGAAACCATCAGAATAATTATTTTGAGATTCAACAATGTTATTGTGGTATTGATAGTTTATTTCTTTTTATTGCTGAGTAGTATTCCATTGTATGTATTTACTGTAGTTTGTTGATCCAAAGTTTGGGGTCTTTCCAGTTCAGGCTATTATAAATAAAGCTGCTAAGAACATTGCAGTCTTTGAACACATTATCTTTTCATTTGGGTAAATACCTAAGGGTAGAATGGCTAAATCATATGGTAGGCAGGCTGGGCCTGGTGGCTCACACCTATAATCCTAGCACTCTGGGAGGCAGAGGTGGCCAGATTGCACAAGGTCGGGAGTTTGAAACCAGCCTGAGCAAGAGCGAGACCCCGTCTATACTATAAATAGAAAGAAATTAATTGGCCAGCTTATATATATATATATATATATAGAGAGAGAGAGAGAGAGAAATAGCAGGGCATGGTGTTGTATGCCTGTAGTCCCAGCTACTTGGGAGGCTGAGGCAGCAGGATTGCTTGAGCCCAGGAGATTGAGGTTGCTGTGAGCTAGGCTGATGCCACGGCATGCACTCTAGCCTGGGCAACAAAGTGAGACTCTGTGTCAAAATAAATAAATAAATCATATGGTAGGTATATGTTTGACTTTTTAAGAACTTGCCAAATTGTTTTCTAAATTAGTTGTGCCATTTTACATTCCCACCAGCAATATATCAGAGTTCTAATTCTTTCATATCGTTGCCAACACTTGGTATTAGTCTTTGAAATTTTAGTCATTTAGGGGAATGTATGATGGGTTTGATTTTTATATCAAATCATCAGGCATGGAGAAATATCTTTTAGAAGTGTTAAAATAAATGTTCCTACTGTGTATTTAAAATAAAATAAAATAAATTTTAGTCATTTGAGAGGTATCTCATTGTATGTTTTTTTGTTTTTTTTTGGAGACCAAGTCTTGCTCTGTCACTTGCCATGGTGTCAGCTTAGCTCACAGCAAACTCAAAATCCTGGGCTTAGGCAATTCTCCTGCCTCAGCCTCCCAAGTAGCTGGGATTATAGGCACATGACACAACACCCAGCTAATTTTTCTGTTGTTAGTAGAGACAGGTGTCTTGCTCTTGCTCATGCTGGTCTCAAACTCCTGACCTCAAGGCATCCTCCTGCCTCAACCTCCCAGAGTGCTAGGATTATAGGCATAAGCCACCACATCTTAATTGGAGTTGTGATATCTCATTGTGGTTTTTTTTCTTTTTATTTATAAATTTCTTAATACTTTTTTTCACTTATCTTTTTTTTTTTATTTTTTGCTTCTG